AGGTAGTTCCTTTCTCATGTCACCTTTTAAGCTTGACATCTTAAGAATACAGTCTGGGGGGCCAGCTGGTGGCGCAGCAGTTAAGTGTGCACATTCCACTTCAGCGGCCCAGGGTTCACTGTTTCGGATCCCGGGTGTGGACATGGCACTGCTTGTCAAGCCGTGCTGTGGTAGGTGTCCCACATATAAAGTAGAGGAAGATGGGCACGGATGTTAGCTCAAGGCGTCTTCCTCAGCAGAAACAGGAGGATTGACAGCAGTTAACTCAGGGCTAATCTTTCTCAAAAAAAAAAAATATATATAGTCTAGGATGGATTTTACATTTCACTCTTGAATTCTCTCTCTCTCTCTGTCTGTCTGTTTCCGTGTCTTAGGGCTCCTGGCCCCTCTTAGCATTGATTTCTACTCTTTGGGTGCATGGGGTGAGCAAGGGGTAACCTGGCAGAGCCGTCAGGGCTGTTCCGTAACAGTTCCAGTAAAGGGCTGGTGAGCACATTCCCACGGTGTCTGTGGAATCCTAGAAAGATTGGCGAGGCCCTGTAAAATGCTCTCCTGACCACTGGGATCATCAGACTTTGTGGAATTTCCCCTCTGTGCATAACGACAAGCACCATTTCCTTTCATTTTATTCCTTACATATGACCAGGATTGCATCAGACACATCAGGACTCTCACCTGCTCCTGAATCTAGACATTTCTGGTTAATAAATAGTCCCTCGCTGCTCAAGGAGTTTAAAGTCGAGGCCCGGTCAGGGCCCGCACAGAAGAGTTCACTGCAGTCATAAAGCAATATGCGAGTGAAGAGCATCTTAATTCAGCCCGTATGACACGTTGGACCTCAGTTCTTCTGTTGAAATGTAAGAAAGGATTGAATGAGTGCCAAAGTTCTCTTCAGTCCTAACGTTGTATAATCCCATACGCGTGGCTAAGGAGGTGTAGAATAAAGAAATAAAATTCCCGTATTGAATTAAAAAAAGAGGGCCAGCCCTGCTGCTCTAGTGGTTAGAGGTTGGCACTCTCACCACTTCTGCACCTCGGGTTTGGTTCCTGGTTGCGGAACCACACCACTCGTCTGTCAGTAGCCATGCTGGGGCAGTGGTTCACATACAAGAGCTAGAAGAACGTACAGCTAGGATATACAACCATGCCCTGGGGGCTTTGGGGAGAAAAAAAAAAAAGGGAAGATTGGCAACAGATGTTAGCTTAGGTCGACTCTTTCCTTGCAAAAAAATTAAAATATTTAAAAAAAGATTGAGGAAAAGCTCTCATTGTTTTTGCCTTTGCTGGTAGACTCTTTAGTAGGTAGCTGAAATGCTTACCTAAGAGGAGCAGACCCTTGATTATCACTATCTCTTGGGATGTTTATTTTTGTATGTTTAGAAATAAAAAGCCATAGTCCTTACTTCTCGGCCTAGGAATAACCTGCTTCCCCTAGTGAAGCTGTTTTTTCCCCTAGGAAATTGAGATTCCAAGAGCAGAGGATGACCAGGCTCGTGGAGTTCTGTGGTTCCGTGGCAGAGCGCCCTGGGGAAGGTGGCTGAGTATTTACACTGCCACGAGCTGGGTGGAATTCTGTTTACATACCTTCATTGCAGCTTCACTGTGAAACAACAAAGTTGAAAGAAGAGGGAGTTTGATAGCAGTCTCCTTGCAGCTGCTTTTCTTTTAACCATCTGTTATTTCCAACTCCAATTTCTTTTATTTACTAGTGTTCATGCTGATGAGGTTTCTGTATGACCAGTTCTTTCTCTCCTGCCTCGTGTTTAGGAAAGCACTGTCTGTGCCTCACGCTAAGTAGGATCTGCCTGTTTTCCTTCAGGACTTTGCTTAGTATTTCTGTTTGGTATATGTCCCTCACGTGTCTCTTGTAATTTTTCAGAGCAACCAGGGTTAGAGGCAGCGGTAAGTGGGGATTTAGAGGGGAAGGGGTGCTTTTTTCTTCCTCTGCTCCACCAGTCACGTTTATCAGATGAGGAGTCCCCAGTCTTACGTGAGACCTCTGCAAACACAACCTCAAGCCCGCCCGTCCATCGGGACTGCCTTCCCTCTTTAGCAAAGTTCTTGGCTGCAGTCACTCAGAATGGTACATTTCCCCCTCTTCTCCTCATGCGATTTCTAACATTATCTTTGCTAGATTTAAAGGCAGCGTTGATATGTGGGTAATCTTTTGGGTGTACATAAATGTGATTCTCTCGGGTAAATGTTAACTTTCTTCCATAGGTTCATCATTCCTTATTACCTCTTCTGATGTCCATTGAGCTTTGGAGGGGAAAAGTTTTTTCCCATGTTGGTTATAAAAACATCCATCTGGCCCCAAGGGTTTCTTAGAAAGGAGTATAGAGGTCTCGTAGGCAGGACTAGAAGCTCCATTGCCTTACACAGAGCCTGACGCTGGAGTCACATGATCCTCTGGGCAGTGTGGCATCGTGGGTGAACTGACTGGTAGACGAGGCCTCTCTGAAGTTGGCTGGCGGTCTTCATGCAGGTGTAGGGGAGGAAGACATTTCCTCTTCCCAAATGGGGGTTCGTCTGGCCGGAGAGCGAATTAAATTCACATGAGACAGAATAGCAAGAGAAAATTAAACAAAGCTTTATGAGGAACCATGGCCCGGGGCCTTTCTTCCCGAAGGAAGAAAGGGCACCGAAGAAGTGGGGTACACACAGTGGTTATATACCTCCAAACGGGGTGTTTCACATGTGACTGAAACGCCCCTCCTACAATAGTCACAAGATTGCCCTGTCGGCACAGTGCTTGATGGACACAGCAGGTAATGGTCTGCTATCTCGGTGGGCGTAGCAGGAGGCAAGTCTATGTCTGGAGCTGGGCGGTCACAGGTGAGCTCGGCAATTAGTTCCTAGCCTAAGGAAAGATGCTTAATCCTTAAGAAATGCCAGCGTTGGGACGGGGAGGGAAGTTAGTTACAGGAGGTTACCAGACTAGCACAATAAAATGCAGATTTTAAGTCCTTGCCTTTGGTATTGATTAAGAGTTTTTAGAGAGAAGGTCATCTCCTTTCTTCTTCCTGGTACAGAGAGGGAGGCAAATTTCACAGATAGAGATTTACCTTACAAATGTAAACGTGTCCTAACAAAGGGCAAGTTCCATTCCTCAGAGCCTCCTTCCCTGTCCCAGTTTATCAAAAGCAATCAGCCTCAAATAATCCTGATACCAAAGAGACATATGTTGGGCTGGCCAATTCCAGGTCCCCACACAGGTCAGTTCAGTGCTCTCTGATTCTGGTTGTTCATCTGTCAAATGAGGCATCTCTTATCTTCTCCTACCTCTGTGAGATTCTGCTAGTGGCCTTCTTGGCTGAGTTCAGCACATTCATCTACTCTAGTTTCTTTAATCTGTCCTTAAGCATATTCTTAGGTGTGTTCCTAATTTTGAGGTCCTATTTGGTTGTCATGCCTGCTGAGAGTTCTGTTTTAAAAATCAATCAGTGGACCTTTTGTAGACATTTTTCTCTCCCACAGGCAGCATAATTTCTAGGTCCATGAAGTCCAACAAATGGGGACTGTGTGTGTGAGAGTGGGTGTGTGTACACATGTCCACACACCGCTAGGGCTTATTACCTTATTGTCATATTATCTATGAAAAGAAGTGGAGGTGGTCAGAGTTGGAGCTGCAGATCTGGAGGAGCCGTCAGTTAAATGCAGTCTCTAGAAAATTTCTGTGGAAGGATTTGTTAATATGGCTTTTCCCCCAGTACGTGCTTGTTGGAGCTATAACTTGGGAACTTATTGGGGATAGTATTGGGTAATGATTTTATTGTACTTTCCTAAAGACTGCAGTACAGTGTTTTCCACGATAATGAGTTGCTTATTCTATCATATTGCCTTTTCTCTAATTGCCCCTATAACAGAATTAGATAAAGCTTTCCAAAAGCTTTCCATTTTTTTTTTTTAAAGATTTTATTTTTTCCTTTTTCTCCCCAAAGCCCTCCAATACATAGTTGTATATTCTTCGTTGTGGGTCCTTCTAGTTGTGGCATGTGGGACGCTGCCTCAGCGTGGTTTGATGAGCAGTGCCATCTCCGTGCCCAGGATTCGAACCAACGAAACACTGGGCCGCCTGCAGCGGAGCGCGTGAACTTAACCACTCAGCCACGGGGCCAGCCCCAAAAGCTTTCCATTTTTGATGCCATGACTCATTAATGTTCTCCATGTTCCAGAGTTCCTTGCTTCCGGTCCACTGGCTTCAAGAGAGACTTTTCTGTTTCTTCATTGTCAGTCTTTAGCATAAAGATTACAAAATTATGCCGTCCTTCTTTTACTGCTGTTAACAACCCACAGACTTTGTGGCTTAAAGCAATGCAGATATATTCTCTTATAATTCTGTAGGTCAGAGGTTCACCAGGAGTCTTGTTGGCTAAGATCAAGTTGTCCATTCCTTCCGGAAGCTCTAAGGGAAAATCTTTGCTTTTTCCAGCTTCTAGAAGCCACCCACATTCATAGGCTTATGCCCTTTTCCTCCAACTTCAAAACCGGCAACACTGAGCTGCGTCCTGCCCCTTTGTCATCAGGCCGGCTCTCTGACCACAGCTGCGCAAGGTTCTCTGATTTTAAGGATCTGTGTGATTAGATTGGGCCCTCCCGGATAATCCAGGATAATCTCCTCATCTCAAGGTTTTTAACTTAATCGCGTCTGTCCTGTAAGGTAACATCATCACAGGTTCCAAAGATTAGGATGTGAACATCTTTGGGGGCCATTTTTCTGCCTACATTAGTCCTCAAAACTCTTTGAAAGGAAATGATTTTTTTTACTCTTTGTATAAAGAAACTGTTCCTTTCTGTCAAGGAACTTTGCTGTCACCGGAAATTTGGCCCATTTCCTTGTTCCTCCTCTTTTTGAATATATTCTGATCAACTGTTTGCAAAACACACGAGTATGTTAGTAATGTTTGAATTCTGCTATGGCCAGACATTGAGCTGCAAACGTTTACAGTGTTGTGGTTTATGAGTTGTCAGCAGTGCTACTATAATATGAGGAAACTGAGGTACGAAGGAAACTCGTCTGGTGTCATATAGCCAGAAGTGGCAGAGCCGGGGTACAAAAGTGGGTCTCATTGATTCCAAAGCCTGTGTTCTTTTCACTCTGCTGTTCTACCTGAGAAGTGATAATGGAAAAACAAAACGAGACATGGTAAATGGAAAATCTAAAATAATGTCAGATCTCTCTGCTTCTGCCAAGGTGATGATAAAGAGTAAATACTGCCTGTGGAAGATTGATGGCACTAATGGCCCCGATTAATGGCCTCCCTGTATCCACACTCCTTGTAACTTTGTAGTCCCCCATCTTCCCTACCCCCACCACTGGGATTGGCCATGAGACTTGCTTTGGACCCTGGGATCTTAGCAAATGCTATGTAAACAGTGCCTGCATGTTTGTGATTGCATTTTGCACAGCTGAGCTTCCTCTCTCAGACCCCTGCCACCACCATGAGAACATGCCCAGGCTAGCCTAATGGAGAGGTCTGAGAAACATATGGGCATGAGGCTTGACACAACTAGACCAGCCAGCCCCCAACGGACCTGTCAGCCGCTTGAAGTCTCCTGAGCATGTCTTACCAAGATCAGTTAAGCCTGTCCCAGATAACCAGAACCACCCAGCTGACCTATAGAGTTGTGGAAATAATTGATGATTGGTGTGTTAAGGCACTGAGTTCTAGGGGTGTTTGTTATACAGCAATTGCGAACTGATACACAGCTCATATCAGATATTTGAATAGCATAAGAGGTAGTTTTAGTGTTTTTTGAAGGTCATTTTGGACTACTTTTGACTAATTAATATTCTTTTAAGATTATCCTTTAGGCTCAAGAACTTGTGCATTATATCTACCCTTTTCCTTCCCTTTTTTAAGATGAAAAATCCTGTAAATTCTTTTTGGTTTCAGTCAGAAGCAGACTTATTTTCCTTTCTCAAACTACTTTTTATTTCCAATATGGTGGCTTTTGACCCACACCTACAACAAGAAATACATATTGACTCAAAACTCAAATATACATAGATATAACAGCAAGAAAGTTTCACGAAACTGTACCCACCCTTCTCCTTCTGGTGTCCTCTGATGTTTTCTGTACTATTCTATTTCATTTACTTAGAACATGCTGGTCAGGAGTCAGCACTCTGGGCTGCTGCCCATTTTTGTAAATAAAGTTTTATTAGAACACAGCTACTCCCATTTGTTCGTGTATTGCTTGTGGCTGCTTTCATGTTACAGTGCCAGAGTTGAGTAGTTGTGATAGAGGTTATCTGGCCTGAGAACCTCGAGTAATTACTCTCTGGCTCTTAAGGAAAAAGTTTTCCTACCCTTGCACTGAACTGACTTCATAACCTATTAGTTAGGTTCAACCCTCAGTTTAGAAGACACCATTCGGGTGACTCATAACTCTCCTGCATCTCTTCTGGAAATTACACTAAACAAATCTGGCAGATGTGAAAATTGACCCTTTTCCTGTGTCGCACTCAAACTCTCTTTTTTGTTTCGATTCAACCGTTGTTTTTGCTATTTAACATTATACTTGATTGGCTTATATAGGAACCTTCTCAAACATTTCTAAAATGTTTCATCATAAGTAGTATTATGTCCTCCCCACCCCTTTTTCTAATTTAAATGAGGCTTTCTTATGGAAACCAGCTGGAATTAAAATGGACACAAATTCCATTCAAGTGCTAGTTACGTATTCATTAGATTCCAGCAGTGCCTTTTCTGTGATATAATGGAGCCCATTTCTGGACCAGGTGGAGAAACAGTGATCTTGGCTTGTTTTAGAACACCTTTCTGGCAACTAGTCCTTATTGCCACATTTCTGAATTAGGGTGGAATTATTTCTGAGCATAATACAATTTAGAGACATTAAGTCGTGGACTTTGGGGTTGGAAAGACGTTGGAAAAAACATTTTATTCCACTGGGACCTAATTGGTCCCTTAAAGGCTAAGTTTCTGTGATGCCTCAATTTGCCAAGTCTGTCAAGGAAGGACAACATTGTGGTTTATATGGTGTGGCCAGTGAGTTTGATGAGAAGGAGCTGGGGCAGAAAAGGATTCAGAATGATCTGGGTCTGTCTTTCTAAAATATGAAATGCCAGGTGAAGAATGGTCACTGGCCTATTTATTTATTGACAGTGAGAACAGAATCAAAATAAATGAGCTTTAACTACAGCTTGAAGAATTTAGTCAAGTCTGAGAAATGTCCACCAAATAAGATGTGTTCTTTGATGTTAGAATAGGTTCTCCTGAACATTTTTGATGTTAGCTGCCCCCTTAGTTCAGGTGGGTGGCCATCTCTGCAGGTGCTTGGACTCCAGTAATTCATAAGGACTCTTCTGGGTGTCAGCAACAGAAACCTGCTGGAGCTCCCTTCAACGAAAGTGGAGAATTCACATTAGGGCTACAGGAGCAGGAGGCAGGAGCTGCGTGACCCCAGGAACCCCCTTTACTTTCTCTCTGCCTCCATCTGCCTGGCTGCTTAATTCTCCTCTCTGCCTTGTTCTGTTTTTCGTGTCGCAAGGGCAGAACTCTGGGTGAGGGCACTTGTTGCTGGGTAAGCCACCCAGCAAGACTGATGTTTCTTTTGTAAAGAAAACTCCAGTTTCCTGGGGAGTATCCCCTCAGTGGCCCAGCTTGAACTCGCCCACAGCTGAGCAGAACATGGGAGCTACAATGTGGATTTTGGCTAGCTCCGGGGAGCCTTTTGGGGGCCTTTTAGAAATCCGGGGCGGGGGGGAACTTTGGTTGTCACTGATTGAGGGGTGCTACTAGCTTTTATTGGCTGAGAACTGGGGATGCTGACCATCTGCAGTGGGTAGAACAGTCTTACACCCCAAAATATATCCTGTGTCCCACTGTGACGATCATAGATGACAAAACATGTTTATTACCTAAGCCTAGAGACCTAACTTACATGTAACCAAAGAATATTTTGCATGTTTTGAGTAAGGATTGAGTTTCCCAGTCCATAAAGAAAGATTGTGCTTTGTTTTGCTGGGAAATTTACCAAGAGGTGTTTGCCATTTTGGAAAATCGCCCCACCCATGGCATCAGCACGTCACTTGTGTCACTCCACATTTGTAGCTGACCCATTTTTTGATTTTACATTAAAATATAAGCATCTCATGACCCCGTTATGCCTTCTAGATTGGTCTTGCCCAACTAATTGGATATTGAAATACACGTTAGTTTTGTATAGATTATTTTCCTTTTCTTCTCATTTCTATTGCTCTTACGGCAATAAATATGTGTATTTGAAATTAAGTTTAGGAAGGTTATCTAAGAATTTGATTTCAGATAGTAAAGGAGTATTAGAAGTTGCTATAAGCTGGAGGCTTTGGGGCTGATAGAGTTTAGAACACAGCACTAGGGGAAGCGATTTGTAAAGTAATTTTTTCTCCCCCCCAGCCTAATGATTCAGCTGAATTAAACCCTTTTAACACCAACTATTTAAAAGATAATAACCTGTGGCCCATGCATTGGGTGCAGCTGATTGAGAAAAAGGGACTAGAGATGTTGGCCCCATACTGCTCTTCTCAGTAGGTGGTGGACTCTCCATAGTGCAGACCCTCCATCCTCCCATATATGTGGTTCATAGCCTCTGCTGCTTCATGGCTCCGCTGTGGGTCTCCTCATCATTCTGGAAAAGCCCTAGGAGTAGGGAGGGGATGAAGTCAGATTATCACTTGAGCTTCATCTGAACTACTGCAGACTGCTTTGCAGGGCTTCGGGGGAATCTGTGAGCTGCATGGGAAAATATTACACCTTGATTTTCACTAATGTCTCACCAACATTGAGCAATTCCTTAACTTTTGAACGTTGCACACAAATCACAGTAATATTAGCATTGTCTGTGACTTTGTCACCAATGGAAATCTGATACTTTCATACCACAGTTATAGATGGCTAACAGATATCTTGAAGTAGCAATACTCTTTATGACTTGAAATTAAGTGATATTTCAAATTCAAATATTACACCTCCTGCTAGATAGTATTATTTAATGCATTAGCAAACAAGCTTATGTATTATTATATCACAATTTTAAAAATATTTTGGTAACCATATAATTGACTTCCTGTGTAATCTTATGTATTTCATTATATGCATTGAAAAAATCCAGAGAAGGGGTCTGTTGGCCTCACCAGTCTGCCAAGGGGTCCAGAAATGATGGGGGAGAATTGTGGGGGGTTTTGGATGCTAATACCCTCCACTGCTGCCTGTCTCTTGTGTTCATTGGGAGTTGAGCTCCTCCTGACTTGGCATTTCCCCAAGACTGCCAGATATGGATATGGAGGGAGTGTGGGCTTACCTTCAATTGGTTTATTTTCCTCTTAGACCTGGTCAAAGACTTGAGCTTGATTGACTCTGGCTCATTCTTTTATCATACATGAGGAGGCAAGTTTGTCAGAACATTCCTCCGGCAAAGCTGTATTGATCAGTACTAGGTACAGGATGCGTTTAAAGCTAAAATGTCCTGATTATCTGAAGTGCGATTCTGCTTCAGGTTTTCAAGTGGAGAAAAACCACAGAAGTTCTGCAGGAAAATTCCGTCTATACAGACCAACTTTCATTTTCCTCTTCGTATGCTTCAAAGTTACATAATCACAACGCAACTCTAAGCAAGTACCCCATTGCCCAAGAAATCTATTGCACAAACGGCTGCCAGGGGTGTTTTCTGTTACCATATGACTTGTGGGGGGAGAGGGCGTTTCCCAGAAATTAGGGTTTGAGATGGAGGTAGACAGCTCCATTGGTGTGCACTTCATCCTGGCTGCTACCTTGCCACCCAGTAATTCCAGCCTAGAGGGTGTGGTGCCGTGGCTATACCTGGATTTCTGGGAATAGCATCAGCCTTTTTCTGTTTCTGGAAACTTCTATTGATAGGAAATGACTTTTCCACAGAATAGCCTACTGTTCTTGCCGGCCTCCAGACACCAAGTCATTGTTGTGCTGCCATGTCTGTCTTTCTCCTCTCACAGCTTCTAAGTCTATATTTAGAGCATGAAAGTGCTGAACATTCCTTTCTGATTCTTTAAAAGTTGAGCACGGGCGGGATCTTCATACATTCAATGTTAATACCTTGGATGACCATATTAAATAATAATGAGAGTAATATTTTTTCAACTTTCGTTTCAAAAAATATTATGCTGGAGATTGGAATTGAATAGTTTCAAATTTTTAAGCTTCATTTTTCTGTGGGTTTACTTATTGATCAAATTTCTAATTGAGTAAAAGCCATTCCTTTAAGGAAGTAGGGGCAGCCGCATTATATCATATTGTGACTGCTCATGTCAAAGAGAACATACATGTACTTAATAAGCTTATCAATGAAGTGACAGCATCTCTCTCACTTTTTTTTTTTTGTAAAAGGGAACAGCAAAATTCTGTCATTACCTGTGCTGCTGATTGCTATTATAGTTTCCCATGCAAGACTGTGGGTGCTATTCGGCCTAAGTTTTAAGGTGCTATATCTCAGATCCTTTTATGGAGAAACTGTCCTATTGTTGGATTGGGAAGGCCAGTTTTTTTGGCTTGAGAAAGCAGGAGATTCACCAAATTCATTGGCTGAGGGATGGTAATTTGACTCACTTTGAAGAATCTCTTACCCCACCGTCCTATTCTGAGCCGCATTCATTTGGCCTATTTTTCATAAAGGTTTTGTTTGGGATGGATTTCAATCTTAATCCTACCTCTGTGGAGAGAGTAAAGCAAGTCCAGAAGATCTGGAGTATAGGAGTTTAAATCTGCACCAGTGATTCATCTCCTGGTCAGATGGACAACAGCATTAATGGTGCAGCTGCTGGACACAGATAGATCCCATTACCATTTTACAGACCTTGTCACAATGGAAGTGGAAAATGCAGGTCCTGTCTTCAAACTGGCATTCAGAGGGTAAGGATCTCACATGCAGAGAAACGCTTTTTCCCGAAAGTAGACCTCTTGAGCGTGTAGCTGGTGTTCTGAGGGATCCTGGGCACTTGTGGGAACCAAGCCTTGAGCACCCTGTCTAATTTCTTGCCTATGACAACCCTGTAAATCAGATTGCTTTGTCTTCATTGAACAAATGCAAAACCAAGGTATGGAGAAGTTAAGTGTCTTGCGTGCAGTAACTCACGTAATTATGAGGTGCCCATATAGCTTATCCTCCAAACCTGAACACTTTTGAGAGTGAAGGGGGTACTAGCAGTGATTATGCTGGGATAACAGGTGCAAGTGGGGACATACTGTCCCCCTACTCATCAGGTGCAGATTGGGGGTTTCATTCAGGTCTCCGATTCCACAGCCTGTCTGCTCTCCATGAGCTACATTAGATCAGGTGCCTTATCTGCAGGTGAACTGGTGAGACGCGTACTGAACAGTCTTCTGAAGATGAGATCTGCACGGGTGTAGAGACAAAGGGAAATTCTCGAAGGCTAGATAAAAGTTCCCTCTAAAGGGCAAGAGAAATGCCTATTGGAGATCTTTGTTCCTGTAAAAAGGTAGAAAGAGTTTTCTTTGGAAGGCAGATGGTTTTTCTCTAGGTAAAAAATGGTTTTTCTTTTTTTTTGTTTGAAAGAATGGGTCTGCTTTAGCATTTACAAGAAAGATAAAGTGAGGCTCCTAAAATTTCATATCCACGGCAGACATCTTCCTAGCCCGTGGCTGTTATGATACAGTGGTATAACGAATTCTTCAATAGTGAGGTGTGTAGATGAAATTTACTGCCCCTGTTTTTAGCACTCTGTCCACGACTATTATTATCCAGGCAGATTTGTGTGATAGCATCCTTACTATGAGATGTTTAGATAAAATCTCAGCACTTGAATATTTTGCACTCCCAGTATTGGACACTCCAGTTTGTGATGATCCTCTGTGAGCCTCAGACACACCCGTGTGAACAGGCGCAGCAGAGGTGCAGACCCGAAGATAGATGAAGCCCAAGGTACTTATAACAGATATTACAGCCCAACCATGAAAAGTAATAAAGAACATCACACAGCACTCCAGGATTTATTTGTTCACTGTGTTATGTTCTTTTGCTGCCTTCTAGGCCAGTTAAGGTGTGAAAGCAAAACTTTCCTAACAGAGTAGTTCTGTAAATACCATGGCCTCTAAAAAAGTCCTGCTGGATTGGCATTCGTCACGTCAGCACTGCCAAAGAATGACATGCTATTCAAAGGCCCCTGTGGGAAACCTAGAGCAAGTGGGCAGATGGGTGAGAGTTCTGTGTTTGGTTAGAAATTTGGGATCTGGCTTTCAATTGAGAGCTGTTACTTGGCAGTTATTCTCCACCCAAGTTCCTGGGGGATCTGCCTTCTGACCCTAGGAGCACCCAAAAAAGACTGGATCCCAGAGTAGGCAAAATGAAACTTTCCGGTGATGAAGAGGAAGTCTTCTCCCATCAGGAGTGACCAATGGGACTAGAGAGGGACTGGGGGGCTCAGGGATTGCCCCGCCCCTATGATTTTTTTCAAGCTGCTCCCTGGAGAAGACATTGATATCTTGTTGCCTTTTCAAAGGCCAGACTTTTCTCTGGAAATAAGAGAACCACAGGTTTGGAGCAGAGGCGTGAGAAGGGGAAGGAGGGGGCCTGGGTGGCCAGCAGCAGCCTGTCTGCAGTGGAAATAAGAGACCGTGGAAGATGCAGAGCAGCTGTACTGTCTTGGGTAACAAGAGTCTTCTTGAAATGGGGCGGGAAACATCAGCTGAGAAGTCAGGAGATCTGGGGGCTGGTGCTTACCCTGCCACTAACCAGCTTTGTGAGCCTCTGTCTCTTCCGCACAAGTGGGCGAGTTGGGTCAGATGTTATCCAGCGTGACTTCCAGCTCTACAAGGCTTTGATGCTGAGCCACTGAACCATCTTTGTAGGGCTCACCCATGTGGCTAAATAAACATTTACTGAGTACTTATATGTCAGGCATAGGGCCTCAAAGGTGACTGCAACAGCTGACCTTATGTCTAGGGTGGGGCCCTGCCATAAACACTCCCGTTGTGCCAATAAGAAGAATGGCTAACTCTTAGAAAGCATTTATTGTGTGCCAGGCAGTGTTATGGATACTTCCCATTGAGTTACATCTATTAGTACTTTTCATCCTCCCAGCAACCCTGTGAAGTAGGTAGAACTGTTCTAATGTTAGAGATGAAAGTGAGGCACAGGGAAGTGAAGTAATCTGTCCCAGGTTTCACATTGGTGGAACCAGGATTCGAAGCCAGGGAGCCTGGCTCAAGAGCCCACACCGTGCAGCTCTTAGAGGGGAGTGCTGTCATGTCTTCTTCTTGTCTCCACTGCTGGACTGTGAGCTGCCTGAGGGCAGCAACCATGTCTGCCTTGTTAACTGTTCCTAGTGCCTGGCCCAGTGTAGACTCTCGGGGCATTTTTTGTTGAATGGGTAAATGGATGGATGGATGGATGGAGAAGATAAACAAGGTCTTCAGGGAGCTTATAATGTAAAGAGGAAAAGAGATGCATAAACACCTAATTTTGGTCCATGTCAGGCAGGAAGGGTACTTAAATGTGGGGCAACAGTGAAGCCTTCTTTGAGCCTTGAAAGATGTGCAGAATTTGGGAGAATCAGGTGGAAAAGGCGTGCCAAGCAGAGGGGCCGTGTGGGCTACCTCTCGCATTGCCTCAGCATTCAGTAATTCCCAGAGGACAGAAGGCAAGGCACAGGCTGTTGGGGATGGGGCCAGGTCAGGAAGAGCCTTCCCTGGGAAGGCATTTGGGCTTGCTCCTGAGAACGGTAGAGAGCTCCTGAAAGGGTTTAAGCAGGGGAGTGACATTAGCAGCCTTGGATTTCAGATGGGGTATTCTGGCTACAGTGTGAAGGATGGAAGGAACAGGGACACGAGATCGGGGCAGGGGAGAGGTGACTGCAGAGATCCCAGCAAGAGATCATGGGAACCTGAAGTGGAGGTGGAGGAAGAGGTGACTAGATGGGTAGGAGGGGAGAGTGACTTAACTTTGGGCATGCTGAGTTCAAGGCGTCCTGGGGCTGCTGGTGGGCTGTGCAGGTGCTGCCATGTTTAGGGCTGAGCCTGGGAGGCTAAAGACCACGGTAAATGTGGTTTAGGCATTGCCTGCATCGGGTGGCAGTTAAAGCCAGGAGAGTGGATGATATCTCCCTGAAAAGGGTGTTACCCTGCAAGAGCCAGTCCGTGGGAGCTGAGCCAAAAAGAAGCCCCTGAAGGATGGCCAGAGAGCCTGGTCCTGCTCGAGCAGAGTGTGGCCATGGGTTTTATGGAACTCGTAATCTTCACTATAATGATAACATGTTTTGAGCCCTTACAGTGTGCCTGGCACATTTACGAGCACTTTGGGTACTTTTACTTATTCGTTGTTCATAAAAACCGTTTGTGTGTTATTCTGATTGCTATTTTTTACAAATGAGGAAAACGAGGCACCCACAGGTTAAGTCCCAGTTACCCAAGGTCACATGTGTTGCATGACCAGAGGGCCCCGATGAGATGAGGCCTCCTGAGTTTTTATTGAGTTTGTCAATATGGAAACCTCTGAAGGCCTTTGCATATCCCACCAAATGAATGAGGCTGGGAAGGGAAGGAGGCTTGGTGTTTTGAAGGATGAGAGAAAGAGCCAGCTCAGAGGAAGATTTTGAAGATACAGGCAGGGAGGGGCCTGAGGTCTCAGCAGCAATGCACTGGGTGGTGGGTCCCAGGCACAGAGGAGAGAGGAGGCTGAGGGGAAGGAGGAGACTGAGGAGGGGACGGCGCCGCTGGAGGGAAGAAAGCAGGAAGGGCAGAGCTGTTGTCAGAATTGGACAGGGGTTGTATGAGTCCGTGGACGGGAAACGTCCAGAATAGGTAAATCCACAGAGGCAGAAAGCAGGTTAGTGGTTGCCTGGGGCTGGGAGGAGGGGGAGAATGCGGAGGACTGCTTAATGGGGGGTTTCTTTTTGGGGTGATAACTAGACAGATGTGATGATTGCACAATATCATGAATGTACTGACTGACACTGAATTGTACACTTTTAAGGTTAATTCAATGTTACATGAATTTTACCTCAATGAAAAAAAATTGGAAGGGGGAGAAGAGGGCAGGTAGAGAAGTGGGTCACACGCGATGACCAGGATTTTCTGGCCCCCACTTGCTTCCTGTTACCTAAGGGCTTTATTTTCATCGTCTTCCAACCCATGGCGTTGTTTTGTTTACTGCAGTGTAAGTGCTGTGAGATTCAAGCCTGTCCCTCTAGTACTGGAACAGCATGTGGCGCAGAGTGGGTGCCCAGTAAATGGTGCAATGAATGACAGAATGGTTGAGTGATGGGTGAAGTAGAA